AAAAAAAAAACGCATTTGAATGGTACAGTGATGCCCTAGTAATTAAAATAACCTGAAAAGTCAACCATGTGATAAATCAGATTGTCCTCAAAACCTACTAGTTTCTTGTGAGTCCCATATTAAAAAAACATAAAACATTTATTAAAAATACCTTTTTACTTCCCTGAAAGTACTATTGATAAATTACTTTTCACACTATAAAGGAAGATTTGGTCTCTCTTCTTTGCAGGAGAAAAAAACTGAAGAATTGTCCTTTTAAAAATGATCAGTTTAACGTGATGCTACAGCGCCTTACTCAGATTTTATTCGTAATTTTCACCTGGCTGCTCAATCAGTGGATTTACTCATATTCTGAGAATCATTTTACCACTTTTTAGTCGTAACATAAATATTCATCTTATAGAGATAAACTGATGGTTAGACATTTGGCTCTAGAGCAGAATTCATGCTTATATCAATTATAGTCCTGTTCATGAAGGAGCAAAGCAGCTCCAGAACATCATACTGCCACCACCGTGTTAAACCATCAGACAGATGTTTGTCTCAGAAATAATCTTAGTTTTATGGCTGATAATAGAAATCACACTTTTTAAGTATTTAAGCATTTTTATCTTGCATGTCTGGGGATTATTTTGCAATAAGTGTTTTTTTTGTGTGCATAAAACACATGAGGCAGTAACCTCCTGGATGAATGGTGGATTTTCTTTTAGAATTATTTAGGAAGAGCCGACGCTGCAGAGATTCATTAACTCTGTTTCATGTCTCCATTTGTTCATATTGGTTCCCAAGTCTCTAAAATGCCAAAAAGCGTAGAACAAACTTTCTATCTGTTTGAGAAGCCTGGTACCTTTAGACGTCATTTAACTTCAGTCTTGATATTGTTAGGTTTATGCTTTATACATCATGTGGAGAGCTATCTGTAATCCTTGGGCATGGATGGTGTGTCAGTTACTGATACGGACAGCTAAACATCAACATGATCATGCAACACATAGACTCATGAGCTATAAGAAGGAGAAGATGACCTTGTTCGGGGCTCAATCTTTGCCGGACGCTCGCGGATGTTTTTTTTGAGCCCACAGCTGTGCAAGCTCCGAACTTTTTCTCTGTCCTGTAACGACCTGATCTGGAATAAACTCTGTTACTTTTTTACTCCTGTTTTTATAGTCCTTTTTTTGTATGGTTTTACCCAGTTTGAGTTAAGAGTAGTAAATAACTTGCTCCCAGGAAAAGAACCGTGAGGAAGCCCTGAGGCGCAACAGCTTTTTAGGGGACATAACTTCCTCATTTAACAATATCAAACAGCTTCTGTTTAAGAGATCTCATTTTTTTTATCAGGCCTGGGCATTTTCCACTTAGATATAGTTGCAGACTTTTAAGAATTTTTGAAAAGACCCGCCTTCTCCACTCCAAAATTTCCATGCACAACCCTGTTACCGCTCCTGAGTGGGAGCACCTATTAAACGCGTGCGAGTGTGCACGATCGCATTTCTCCTCGTGCACGCTCTGTTTAAAAGTTGCTGTTTGCAGCGCTCAATAAAGCTTACTTTCCAAAAGTATATTTGCAATTTTTCCACTATGTCAGATTTACCACTGGTACGTGAAAATGGGGACGAGCACGTAGGACGGCCCTAAACATATCATCCCAATGACTGACAATTAGGAGAAACACACCCGGAAAATGAATAATCCTCCACTATTACTTTTAAAGTTACCTGAAAAATATCACTGATTACATTACAGAGGGCCTACTTGGTTTGGATAGCTTTTGTGGCGTCATAAGTAACACCCTAATTTGAAAATGATTTTTTTGCTTTGTTTGTTCTTATTCAACTGTGAAGTAGAAACAGACTGGAAGCAAATGCTACCATACATCATTGAACAAGTCCAGGCTCCGATCAGGAGTTATAAATTCCATTTAACATTTGCATCCATTATTATTTCAATTTAAAGCTTTCAATTATTAATACTAAAAGGGTTAAATATTTACTAATCACTTAAATCTGTTAACCGGCATTGCTGATGGCACTGAAATATCTTTCAATTCATTAAGGCCAAATTCTATCTGCTGTCTTTTTATTTATTATAATAAAGCTCAGCAGGTTGCTTCTCTTAGCAGAAATTCAGGTTTGACAGGTAAATGGAAAAGCAAGAGGAATTCTTACTCTTCTCAGTCTTACATTAGTGGATTAAAACTTTTGGAGCAATTTCTAAGCTACTGCAGATTCTAAAACCATCAATTCAGCTTAATGTTTGCTAACGTCCTTAAAAAACGAGCCAAACTTCCACTTTGGGTGGAAAGAAAGCTGGTTCTTCAGAAACCTCCAAGGTTAAAACCGACTATAAACTGGTACATTTCCACAGTAAAACCAGTTTTGTGGAAAAAAACATGGAAAAAAAGGTTGAAGTTCAGTAGAGGGAAAGATTGAGCTGTTTTGGCGACAATAGCAAGAAATATGTTTGGAGGCTTCTGTTCATGCTGATAAGCTAAACTGTTAAGCATGGCGGTGGCAGCATTATGGTCTGCTTTGCTGTCTGTTGAACTGGTTCACTGCAGAAAATCATTGGCAATTAAGTAATAGCTAGTAGCTACTATCCAGCCTGAATGATGAAAGAAGCTTGTTGATGGACGCATAAAGCTTGTAGCTAGTCTAAAATCTGACTGGTTTTCACCCTGGAAAATTAACAAATTGATTCATAATTAAAATCCTCAAATGAATCAGACATTCTTGGCTCCGGTAAGGTGATAGAAGCAGACTTTGTCTAATCCATTTGTCAGGTTAATTCAATGATGATTATAAAATTAATGTGTGTGCATATGAAACATTGAGGAAAGGAGATGCTTCACTCTGTCTTGTGATTCAGTCAGTGGAGCATTCTGTCTTATGACCTGATCAATTGTCCTGTCAGAAGAATACTCTGTTTTGTAACCATGTGTTATGTTCTGTTAATAAAAGGGCACTGCAGGAGGGGGTTCCGAGAGAGAGTTGGAAAGTTGGGTTTGGCTCTTTCCCCTCCTGCAGGAGGGGAAAGAGAATCTCTTTCCTGTGTGGACTCAGTTCCTCTTTTACGAACCTACATTTTTGAACCTAACACCATTTTAGCCGTAACTCCATCTTTGTTTGTTTCAGGTCAAAGAGCATGAGAAGAAGACCGTTCTCGGGGTTTTCAACTTGCCTCTCAATCGCCTCTCTGAAAACTCCCAGATGTCTCTAGACCAGCGCTTCCCGCTTGAGCGCTCAGGAGCCAACAGCCAGATCAAACTGAAGGCCACTCTCAGGGTGGGCGGCCCTACCGCTTTTATGCTGCACTACATTTCCCTAAATGTATAAAGATCTTTTACATCATCGGATCCGCTTAAACATCAGTATCCTTTTGCAGATTCTTACAGAGGAACGACCTCCAACCAAGATCCCCCAAAGTTCTCCTGTGAACGTCAACCAGCAGATGGCAGCAGGAGGAAATGCCTCGGCGTCCGCTGCCCATCCTGGGGACCCCGCCAAATCTCAGCCGGCCGATCAGCTCAACAGAACAAATGAGGCTTCTTCAGCTCAGCAGCGCCGGAGCTCCTTCCTCGTTTCAGAAGCCAGTAAGTCCCCGAACGCCAGCATGCGTCGCTACGACTCCCACAGCCTGCTGTCGGATAACTCCATCGCCTCGTCGCGGTTCGACCTCTCAGACGGAGCCTCCTATCCTGAGTGAGTTGAAGTACTAAGATCTTTAACATTTGCTCTTTTCTGAGGAATGCTAAAAGCTGTAAAACCTTCCTCTGTTACTTTTTTAAAACTATTTTAGGGCTATAAGGAACCATCAAGGTACATTTGGAGAAATTCACCTGACTGTACGCTACGCTAACATGAGGAACAAGCTTATAGTCCTGGTTCACGCCTGCAGGTTTGTTGCAACACGCCTCATTTTCTAATTCATCATAGTTACAGAAATGCAAAAATCCAATGTTTTCCTGCAGGGACCTGTTTCTCTGCAGCGACCATGGCACAGACTCCTACGTTCGCATGTATCTACTGCCAGACCACTCATGGAGACACCGCAAAAAGACGCACGTCAGGAAAAGGACGGTCAATCCCGTCTTTGAAGAAAAGTAAGACAGCTGGATGAATCCTGTAAAGCAGGTTTTAATGCACCCAAAGGGAAAATCATTTACAGATCCTCTTTGTTTCTTACAAAAAAGTGAAAAAACAATCCACAGGACTTTGTTTCAGAGTTTGAAGATGTTTCGCTTCCCATCCAGGAAGCATTTTCAATTCCAAATTTCAGGAATAGCGTTGAGTTTGAAGCTTTATACAGTAGAACAACAAACCCTTGTCTTGGCTTAGAAACATGCAAATTGAAACGGGTCCACCTCTTTGGAATGGGGGTCGTTTGGTTTCTTTTGTTAGCCTGCAATGCCCCATACCTGTCTATCAGAGCATGTGAGCGGAGCAAGGAGCGAGCGGTGGAGCGGAGTGCAAGAAATATGGTGGAGCGCAGAGCGGTTTTCAATTTAAAGGCCGGAGCAAGGATTTCACTCCGCTCCAGTTTGCTCACAACGTCAATTAAAAATGTTGGGTTATAAAATTAGTAAAATAACATTTATTTCCTTAAAGTGAGATTTTCTTCAACATGTTTAACCGCATGACCGCAGTTGCCAGCAGCAGCAGCGCTGAATGTGACAAGAAGGAGGATATATCTCCTTTCTTGAGAAGAACACAGGAAAGTGTGGACTCTGGGAGAACGGGAGCATGCTGCATAAATATGGTTCAATTGGAACAGAAGCTTACTGATGACATCACCAAACGCTCAGCTAGTCTGGAGCTGCTTTTCACCTATTATTATTAATAATCTCTAGATGATTATTAATTCTTACTTTTTTTATTTGTTGGAGGAGTAATAATGAACACAGTCAGATAAACACAAATCAAATGAACATTTTGCCAAATAAAATGAAAAACTCGCCATCAGAGCCAGCGGTACTTCACACAAGGCTATGCCGACAGAGGGCTGCTATAGACGGGCTAACGTTAGCTTTGGCTGCCGTTACCCTCAGAGCTTCTCTCAACTTCTGAATTTTTTTCTTTTATTACACATTAAATCGGTAAATGGGCCGAAGCTTAAAAGCATAATGTTCTCCCCTCAAATTATCCGAAATTGTACTTTTATTGAACAACAGAAAGGAGAACTTTTAACTTAATACTCTGAGCTCTGTGAGCGCTGACCTGGAAGCTGCTGATACCACACTGCATGCTGGGACAGCTGCCAGTCGCAAGAACGGATAAGTCTCCTCTGATGCATGCTGGGTAAAGAGGGAGGGGCGAGAACAACATCTGGGGACTTTGTCCGTTCTCTGTCTTCTTGTTCTTGTGAATTGGAACAGAACTAGGGCTGAGGATGATGATGTTTCACGAGTAGACGAGAACGCACAAGCACACATATTGAGAAACGGCTTATGTCTCTAAGGGGGTCGTTAAGGGAATTGTTGGCCTGGCTGAACAGGCGAGGTTGTTTTTACCGCTGTAAAGGGGTTGGGGGTGAAACATCTTCAAACTTGGAAACAAATCCACTGGATTGTTTTTGAACTTTTTTTGGAATTACCATGACCTGGATGACTCAGAATCGTCACGAGCACTTTGTTTTATGTTTCTTCTTCTCTTCTTCTTCTGCAGGTTTGAGTTTGATGTGTCACTTGAAGAAGCAAAGACCAGGAAGCTGGATATTTCTGTAAAAAATAACAAGATGTTCCATACGAGGCAGAGAAAGGACATAGGCATGGTAGGTAGAGACGTTCTTAAGGTGTGGAAACACCCTTTTAAAATGGTTTAAATGATAAATCTCACATATCTTTATCTTTGATTTCTGAAGAACTAATTCAGTTTTCCCAAATTGTTTTTGTTACCAGGTGATGTTGGATATCTCACAGATGGATCTAATAAAAGGAGTCTCCGATTGGTAAGAGGTCTAGATTTCTCACCACTAGTTACTCACACAGGTCTCTCTAAAATGACCTGAAACTGAAAAAAAGGTTGGTTTTTCCCCTAAAAAGCAGAAATCCCACCATTTTAAAAATATCTAGTTTAATAAATGAAAATGGCATAGCCTAAAAATAGTTCCATGATTTAAAAAAGGTGGGTAGATTATCTAAAAAATTACTGAATTAAGGGGTTGTTATGGCTCAGTATGGCGTTGAGTAAAATTCAGTCCTCCTACTTCTTTAACCCCTTGAAGCTTGAGTTGATATGGATTTACATAAAGAAATACATTTTGTGTGTTTTTTCATTGAAAGAGATTCCAAATTAAAATGGTAAATGTTACTAAATAAATAGAAATAAAGGTAAATTATATTTTGTAACAGCAGTTATAACTGTACATAATAACATACACTGTGACTAGCACTGGGGGGTATGCAAAAATGCTATGGTGGCTGTTTGCCTACAATGCAAAAAGGATCTGAAAATGAGTAAAAATGTCCTAAAATAAATGTATTTACCCTTAATATGAGTAGGAAAATAAAATTTTCTGCCAATGGAATGAGCATTTTTACCCTTAAAGTAAGATAATTACATATTATGCACTTGAAATAAGAGACTGCAGTTGTTGTTTTTTTCTATATTGTCTTGTTCCAGTGGCAAAGTGTCTCACTTACCTGCTCAATTCAAGAAAAAAATCGTCAGTTTTAATTTGCATTTTTACAAAACAAAAACAAGGTTTTGTTTGGCTACTGTATAAAACCTGGAACTCGACGCTATTTCTGACATTTTTAATTGAAAAAGCTTCCTGGATGGGAAGCGAAATGTTGAACGTTGAAACGTTGAAAACAGTGTCCAGTGGAATGTTTTTTTTTTGTTTTTTTTAACAGTGGCAATGTGGCAATAAGAATAATTGTCTTGATGCCAAAAGGAGCCCAACAGATTTTACTTTCACAAGTGTAACGGTATGGCAATTGCCATACTGCTCCACTTGTTCCATGCATATAAATTTCTTTATTATAATTATGCAGGGAGTTTTACAGTTTATATGGACACTGCAATGTAGATAGTGCAGAAGAAGAAAAAGAGAAAAGATGAAAGAAAGAAGAATGTTGTTAATTTACTTTTTTTTTTTTGAATGACTATGACCTGGATGACTGAGAATCTTCACCAGCATGACAGAAAACCCCTCTGCTCTATTCAAAGTCTGCTACTTTAAAGTCTTCCAGTGAAACTGTAGTGATTCATTTGCAAAACTTTTAACTTTACTGCCCTCTTGTGTGCAGAATGAAGAAGAATTAAGTTTGTCCTTTGGGAGACAGAATAATCATAATCTCAAATGTGTTTTACTTCCCTTCTCTTTAAGGTATGAACTTACCCTACCTGGACTAATGAAATCCAACAAATAGGAGAAGTTGTAAAGGACCAGCAGGCAGCTGCAGGAAAGTGAAGAGATGTTCCTTCCCAGTTGGACGATATCCAGACCGGGGAACCTTCTACGCGGAAACATTGAGCTGATCTTGTCTCTGAATGTTGCACTTAAAAGCAACTGTGTTGATATTCTGTTATATGAACAATGTGTGGTGTATAAAAACAAGTTGTGTTTTTGTTTCTATAGGAAATGTGAAGCATTGCTGTCATTACAAAAGTTAAGTGACCACAAAAAAAAAAGTATTTTTGGGGTCTACCTGAGCTGCCTGGATTTTTAGATGAAAAATATGTATATAAAAAAAAAAAAACACAGCCTGTTGCATAAAGCCAGAAAAATCCCTGCGAACTCAGGAAGGGTTCTAAACATTTAATGCTCCAAAAACCCTCCCATGTTTGCAGTGTAGAAAATGGATCCATGCAGCTGGGTGGCCTTTGCTGAAGCTCTGAGCTCACCGGATAGAGCCGATCACATGAAGGGCTGTGCAGAGAGGTGAAGGGAAACTGCTTTTAATGTTTAAGGGTGTGGAAAGTAGATATATTTTATTTCTTTGCTGCAAATTATATTTTAAGTTGAATCCTTCCATTCACCAGACACTTTTGAACAGTTTTTTTACTTTCAAACTTATTCTCATGGCTCAGGGGATTATAACTAATATCAAAGAATACAATAAATCCTTTTGGGGAGTAAATGTATGCACTAAATTATATTAAAAGGTCTTATTTCTATTTTTTGTTGTCCATAAGCTGCAAATATGAGCTGTTTCCAAGTGTGTGAGGTATTGTTACATTTTATTGAGATATTTATTGAAAATAAACATCTTCAAACGAACTTAAGGTGGATTTTGTGACTTGTATTCTTACCATAAAATCATGATGGCTCTAGGATGTTAAAGAAAAAAGGATCTGCTGTTATTAAGGAAATGTCGATGCGACTCTGGTTTGCCAAGATGCATCTGAATCAGGCCCAATACTGCAGCAACGTCTGCCTTTGATCATAATCCACATCACCAGGTTTGGTTTAAAATAGAGATATTTGCATAAACGCCTCATATCAGCTGATTAGGAAGGTGGAGGACGGATAATCTGGGCTTGTTATGCAGCTATCAGGCAATGTGTTCAAGCCATCTATCTAATGGGTGCAGCTAAGCCCAAACTGGGTCACCAAAACAACCTTAAACACAGAAGCAACTCTAAAATGCAATTGGCTATGTTTTATTTTTTCTCTTGATGTTCTCCATGAAATAGAAACAGATTTTATTTAGCTAAATTTGGAGGTCAGTTTTAACAAAAAGAGTGAAGTTGAATCAGCTAAAGTCTAGCTTTGGTTAGTTTAAACGTAGCTATTTTTTTTATAACGATTTGTATGGAAGAGGATTACGGCACTGAAAAAATTATTTAAAAACTGATTTTTAAATTTTATTTCAATATAATATGAGGAAAAAGTCAGAATTCAAGCTTTTTTTCTCAGAATTCGGAATTTTTTCCTCATAATTCTGACTGAATTATGACATTTTTTTTTATTCTGACATTTTTTTCTCTGAGATTTAAGTACGAATTCTGAGATTAAAGTCAGAATTCTGACTTTTTTTCTAAAAATTCTGAAATTTTTCCTAATAATTCTGACTGAATTCTGAGATTAAAGGCAAGATTCTGACTTTAATCTCAGAATTCTTACTTAAATCTCAGAATTCTGACTTTTTTCTCAAAATTCAGTCATAGTTCTGAGATTAAAATCAGAATTCTGACTTTAATCTTAGAATTCTGACTTTTTCCTCAGAATTCTGACAGCTAAAAAACATGTTAGCATCAAGCCATAGCCATGTCTGTTTTCAAGACTAAACTAGCTCTCTAGTTTTAATCACATTCTGCTCTTTCATTAATGAAATATCATCACCGGGGGATCCCTCGGGCATGTAAAAAGTCGCCTAATATCATCATTTTCCATCAATATGTTACACATCTTAGTCAGTGAAGCTGATTGCTCCCACATCCCTTCCTGCCCATCTACATTAAGATCCAAAATTCTTATATTTAAGTCAGAATTCTGACTTTTTTCTCATATTTAAATTTGAAAATCAGTAATTTGTTTTTTTGTTTTTCAGTGGCCCTAATTCTCTTCAGTAGATTTGACCATTATGAATGGATATTATTTATTTCATGGTATAGCTATTTATTTTGCGGGTTTGGTTCTTTGTGAAGAGAGGAGCACAGATAAAGGGAAATCAATCCGCGTTCATCAGTCTCTGGGCTCCTGCCGCGCCGCTCAGGCGTTACCACGTTGCCTAGCAACCGACACAGCAACGCGGAATAAAAGTTTTCCTGTTGGTCGCAGAAAGTTTTTAACCGGAATAAGTTTTAAAATGAAGAAAACGGATAACACAGACAAATTACCTCCTGTAAAACGAAGCCAAGAGCAGGTAGGCGGCGGAATATGAGCCAAATATTTAAGAAAATTATTTTTTGTTTTAGTTATTGTCCGAAAATCAGGAAATTCTGACGTTTAACAAGCCGAACAGCTCATTAACGTTTTTATCTCGTTATGTCTGTACTGATATTTAAATACTCAAATGTTGTCCAACTGAGCAAAAATTGGTTAAAAAGACATTTGATTTACGTCAAAACGATTTCTAAGTTTGGTTTGAGGGAGGAAGACAGAGAATACATATTTTAAATACACACACACACACACACACACACACATATATATATATATATATATATTTATATATTTATATATATATATATATATACCTCATTTAATAGGAAGCCGATAGTAGGTAGGTGGCGAATATAAAGCTAATATTTAGGAAAATTTGCAATTTTTTTTAGTTATTTTCCGAAAACCAGGAAATTCTGATGCTTAACAAGCCTAACAGCTCATTAACATTTCTATCTCGTTATGTTTGTAATGATATTTAAATACTTATATGCTGTCAATGTTTCCGCTTTTAATTATTCTTCTGGAAAAAAATCTTAACTTATCAAATTGAGCAATTATTAATAAATAAATATTCTAATGAGGCCAGTATCATGTGTTGCTCAGGGCCGCGGGAAGCTGCCATGGCTGGAGAATAAACCTTCATTTTCTCTATTTCAGAGCAAAGATCAAAGTACAGCAGCAGCTGATGAAAGTAAGTTCAATCCTATTATTATTATTTAAAGTTTTTGCAGTAAAATGCTATTATATATGAGCCCATCACTGTTGTTCTGCTTGTTATTTGTTAGGTGGTCCTGACAGCAAACCCAGAGGAAGTTCTGACAGAACTCAGAATCAGTTTCCCAGCAGACCTCATGCACCAAAGCACAGAAGATCCGAGACTAACTGCTCATTTGAGATGCAAAGGAAAAAAGATCTTTATCCAAGTGTTGCTAAAGACATGAGGTGAGTTGTAATGTTTTTACTTCCCACTAGGAGGCTTTTTCTGGCTCTTATGATGGGATATCTGCTTATTTTGACAACATCATTAGTATTTCTAGCAAGCTCAATAAATGTCACATATGTTTGTAGCATGTTACTGCATAACAAAACCCTGACTCTTATAGTTGTTTTGCGTGTTATCTGTTTGATTTCAGGCAGCGGGTAGTTCAGGGCTGCAGCTCTGCACACAGTGGCCTCTTCACCATTGCAGAGGAGAGCAAACAGGAAATGGTAAAATATGACACACACTCTGATATGAGACTGATGTTTTAGGAAAGATCTACTATTTAAACCAACAGAGGGAAATTTGTGCCTCAGCAGGGGTGCAGGCTCTTATCATTTTTATAACATAAAAAAATAAAATAAAAAACATTCATATTATGCATTTCACTGCATATTTATTTGGTTCTGTGATACACAGAGGGGGTTGATTCTTCTTTGTAAAAAGAGGAACCAGAAAACAAAAATCAGCTACATTCACTTTTGTCATAAAGTGAAATAAATCTGCGCTCGTCAGTCTCTTGGCTCCTGCTTTTACCACGTTGCCTAGCAACCGACAAGGTTTTGCTTATGGTTTTTAACCGGAAGGAGTTTTAAAAGGAAGGAAACTGATTTCACAGACAATTAACCTCATTTAATAGGAAGCCGATAGTAGATAGGTGGCGAATATGAAGCTAATATTTAAGAAAATTTGCAATTTTTTTAGTTATTGTCTGAAAACCAGGAAATTCTGATGCTTAACAAGCCTAACAGCTCATTAATGTTTCTATCTCGTCATGTTTGTTCTGATATTTAAATA